AATAAAATTAAAAAATTTTAATCTGTTAATGGTTTGGTACAAAAAGTTACATAAACTAATTTTTTTAATCCGCTAGCGATTTAAATCCTAATCGCTATCCATTAATTTCAAACCGTTAAATAAAAATTTTACCAAACACTTTAGTTGTAGCGGTTCTGAAATATATAAATTTACCAAACACATATATTTAACAATTTAGGTAAAATTACTAATCATTACCCCAAAATCGTTATATCAAACGGGGCCTTAATCTCTCAAACACAGGTCACTTGGACGATTAACCCAAAATTAGCAGCAGCTAGTCACAAGTCACGTGGTTGATGGTTGTCTCTTGTCCACTAACCCGTACCTGGTTAGCGTCGTATCATTACCATCCTAAAAGAACAATGGTTAAAGTTAGATCAAACTTGTTGTCTTTAAATGTTATGGTTTTAGTCTTAAAATAAACAATATAAGAATTTTAACTTTTTAATTACGTGTTTTTTGAATAATATATATATTTATTATTAATTTTTCAATATCTGATAATTATATTAGATTTCAATTAATTTGAAATCGACTCTAATTAGGCTTCATTAGAAAGAAACTCTCTCAATACTTGTTTTTCTATTCATAAAATTTAAACTCAAAATTTTATTTAATAAGAATTGAATTTCTTTCACTTAAACCTGAATTAATGCATAATAAAAATTTACATGTATTGAGTGCATAATAAAAATTGGATCCTGACTTTGTTTGTACATGAATCTTATGATTCAACAATCATGATTTATAAAGTGCATCCCTGGACTCTAAAATTAAAATTCAAATATCTCCCTTCCCAATTTATAACCCTATTAAAAAAGAAAAAAAAAAAAAAAACTAACGTTGCGTAGACATAAATTAACATACTAAAAACAGTGACGTGACTTGTGGGACTGACTGAATCAATTTTGGGTTAATCGTCCAAGTGTTACCCTGATGTGCACGAAACACGAGAATAACCACGCCCATGATTAAACCACCATCAATGAAGATTATTGCCGACTGGGTTTCCTTTGTCATGTTTAAGACAACAATCTTCAAACAAAACCACGAGACGAAGAAATCTTGGTGGGAAAGTTAGGAGAAACCTAACAGTCATAAGATACTCCCCTACGGATCCGAGTTTGCATTAATTACCTTAACCTTAGCATTTCAAATTATTTCAATAATCCTTATTTTAACCCTACCTTAAACAGGACATTTGTTCTAATTTAACTTGGCTTATAATTTGAAACAGTGATAAAGGAAATTACTTGTTACGATGAGGTCTATTCATTTGACACAAATTATATGAGAAGACTTGAATATCCATGTTTAGGAATTTATGTTGGCCAACATTACAATTTATAACTTTTATTCAATTTTAGTAGTTTTAATTTATTTTTTTATTTTTAAATATAATTTTTATATAAAAATTTAACA